GCTTAGTAAATCACTGCCCTTTGAATAGCAACGCAGAGTGAGGGAGTTGAGCTGAAATTTGCTTGTGACACATTTTGAATAAAACATGTGGAAAACTAGCAATCACTTTTCTGGTGAGGCCATTTTTTTGCAGGGTTTTTCTGCTGCTAATAAGATATGTGAAGCTGAGTGAACACATTATTTCCTTTGGAATCAATTATTTGATTATTTTTGCCCAAAATCTGAAACTTATTTTTGCTAGGAGGAGGCAAGTTTTGTCACCCTCTTCCCAGCACACACATACGGATTTCAGAATTTGGAATAAGAAATCTCTTTACTCCCGTCAAGGTGCCCTGGTTGTGTAGTAGTTACCTGTTGGGCTGCTAACCTTGAGGTCAGCTGTTTGAATTCACCAGCCACTCCTTGGGAGAAAGATGAGGCTTGCTACTCCCATAAACAGTTACAATCTCAGAAACCCACAGGGGGCAGTTCTACCCCACCCTATAGGGTCTTGATGAGTAAGAATGGATCCGAGGGCAGTGCATTTTGGTTTTTTTTTTAATTTACCTCATGTTTCAGAGTAAAGTTCTGAAAAGAACTGCAAATTACCTTTATCTTTTCTTTAAGCTTATTTGTTTTCACATAAGGCATTACGTGAAAATCCCTAATGTAGAATATAGGGAAAGCACTCTGACTTGTGATTTCTTTAAAACACTCATTTCCAGAATATGCTGAAGGAGAGTTGTGAATGTCGGCTGAGGCGATGCCATGCATCAATGTCAGGTTACAGACCTGACAGAGGAACGTTGCCTGACTGAGCGGTACACTGATTGGAATGAATGAATGATTGCCACTTGCGATGCAAAACAAGGTCTGACAATGAATGTATGGATGGATTGTGGTAAGAGTTGTACGAGCCACCAATAAAATGTTTAAAAAAACATGGTCTGGCACACAAAGAGAAGCTAGCAAACCTCTCTCTCTCTCTCTCTCTAAATTGGCACTTAGTACCTATTGGAACATTAAAATCAGTAATAATAGTAAGATATTAATCTAGTAGATAAAATTAGAAGTCACAAGTCTCTATATACACTGGTAGGTACGTAAGCAAATAAATAAATGGCAAAAAAAGGAAAAAGTTCCTTACAGTAGAATGATCATTAACAAAAGAAAAAATAAAGCGAGTTCTGTTAGCTATTTTGTCACCTTCCTAGTAATATCCATATCAAATGCATTTTTAAAAAATCAATTTATTGGGGCTCATACAATTCATCACAATACATAGATCAATTGTATAAAGCACATCTATACATTTGTTGCCCTCATCATTCCCAAAATTCGCTTGCCTCTTGGGTTCCTGGAACCCGCTAATTTTCCTTTTTTTCCCCCTCCCCTTCCTTTCCTCCTCCCCTCTCCCCCATGCACCCCTAATAATTTATAAATTATTATTGTATCTTATATTACACTGTCCGGCATCTCCCTTCACCCACCCCTCCGCTGCCCGTCCCCCAGAGAGGAGGCCACACGTAGCTCCCTGTGATCCATTCCCCCCTACTACATCCCCTTTCCCTCCTGGTATCGCCACTGTCACCCCTGGTCCTGAGAGGTTCCTCGTCAAATGCATTATTAAATGAAGAAAAATAGGTATCTTTTAGGGATTTTTAAAAAAAGAGGTTCTGACGCAAACAGATGTCAGGAGGAGCCAAATCCGGAGGGAAAGGTATGTCTCATGATTTCCCATAGAAACTCTCACAAACTCGCCCTTGTTTGATGAGTGGAAGGAGCAAGGGTGTTGTTGAGGTAGAGAAGGATTCTTAAGGGAAGCTCTCCCAGATGTTCCTCTGCTAGTGCTGTGACTAACTTTCTCAAAACACTCTCATAATGAGCATGTGTTCTCATTCTCTGGCACCCCAGAAATCAACCAGCAAAATGCTTCAGCATTAAAAAAAAAAATTCTGTTGCCACGACCTTTGCTCTTAGCCTTTTTGCTTTGCCTGGACCACTTCCACCTCTTGGTAACCACTGCTTTGACTGTGCTTTGTCTTCAAGATTGTACTAGTAAAGTCACATTTCATTTCCTGTTACAATTCTTACACGAAATGTTTCTGGATCTTGATCCCACTTGTCTAAAATGTCCATTGAAAGCTCTGCTCTTGCCTTCAGCTGAAGTATTGGAGTGATATACTGTGTATGCTGCTTGTGGTAGTTACACAATTTCATGTCAACTTGATAAACGAATGAAAGGGTGGAGTCTAGCCTGTCAACCAAGTCATAGGCTGAGTGATGTCTCCTTGTGGGCGTGGCCTTCTCATGAGGATTCTGGGAACTTGCTCTCTTTCTCTGGAGAGGTGAGCCACACACTCTGCTTCACATTCCTGTTGAAAATCCACATGGAGCCACGCCGATGGCAACCAGAGCCCTGGAAATGCTTCCATTTCCACTGGATCCACAGTACTTTTCACCCACTGGCCTATGATCTTCCTTCATTCAGCATCATTGCATGTGCTGCATGAATCTAAAGAGGAATTTATGGACTATTATAGGGCTTATGACACTGCTCAATCTCAAATGGTTCAGAAAACACACATATGTGTGTGTCTCTCTAAGAAATGATAAAACACATGCGGCAAAACATTATGAAAGAATAAAACGTGGTAAATGGTATAAGGCAATATATCATATTATTGCAATTTCTTTTTTTTAATTATTGTGATTTCAAAGAAAAAATGCTGCAAAACAAGACCACAAAATGTGGTCAAAGTAATCCTGCAGGGAGTCGGTAATTCAACTTGCAATTAGTTGTGCAAAAGAAAGAGTTTAATACTTAGAAACATTTGCTTGCTATCATTATCAAATCATCACTGTTGATCTTTATGGAGCACTTAAGTGGCAAGCACCCCAAAAGGTGTGTCCCTCGCATTATTTCTTTTAATTTTTACAATTACCTTAAGGGAGAGTCAAGGTAATTAACCTCACTTTATAGATGAGGAAATTATGATCTGAAAAGATTGGGTAACTTGCCCAAGGTCATATACACAGTAACTGGCAGAACCAGGAATCAAATGAAGTTGTTGATTACAAAGCCAACGGGCTTTGTAAGTTAAATGTATTTGCATTATTGTTTATTAATTTTCCTCAAAATGCAAGAGCTTAATCGTAACCCAAATAAAATACTGACAAATTAGTAAAAATACATGATTAAATGTCCCTGGTACTAATTAAAGGAGCCAGGGTAGCACAGGCTTTAAGCTGTTTGGCTAACTAAAAGATGAGAAGTCGAGAGGCCCTGCTGCTCGCTCCACAGGAGAAAAACATGGCTGTCTACACCAGATAAGATTTACAGCCTTGAAATCCCCTCTGGAAACATTTTATTCTGTCTGTATAAGGTCAGAATATGCATGCGTCAGAACAGACTCAATGGCAATGGATGTTGGCACTGGTACTAATTAAAATTTGACCACACATCAGCTAGAGACACAGCTGATATTTGTCGTCTCTACAATTTACTTTTGCTCCCTTTCAAGGGCAACCTTGAAAAGGACTTGCAAAAATTCATGTGGAACTTGAATGAAAAGACAACAAAAGATTCCATGAAGTTTTGAAGACTGTATATTCTTTGAAACAGAATGCATCCTGCTAAAGCTTCCGAAACGCTTTTCTTGGGACTTACCATCTCTATATTACTTGCATCAAAATACACTACCCTCTTGTATATGTGTTAGCCTTGATTTTTTTTCCCTCTCCCTAAGATCAGTTTAATTACTAAATTAATCTTTATTTGTGAAACAGGTTTCTTGATGTTATGTTAAAAGGAGGGGAGATTTTTAAAGTTCATGGGAAAATGAAACTAAAAGGGAATTTTTCCATGAAACCTTTGAAGCCCTTTCATATATGAAGCCCAAAACAAAATGATCAATCATCATCTATTTGAACCTTAAAATAATCACCTCAGCCTCTTGCTAACGCAATTAAGGAAGCCTACAGGAAAAGCAGGTGAATAGTCATAACCATCCATTCTCGTCTGCCAAACATCCAACCCCCCAATGAGCTGGCAAAACCCATCTGATTCTGTTTGGCATGTGTAGCACTTTAATATACTTTATTTTATGTAAAGTGGTGTGATATTAATGTCCAGGTTTCATATACATTTATAACGTGTGGCCTGGTTCATAAATACACTATGATAGTCCTCGAAGATAGAGCTAGCTGCCTTCTCAATGAATGGCTGTTAGTGAAAATATGTTCAAGACAATACATCATTTACCAACACGTTCAGGTATCTAGGGAAATGCTATATACCTTCCAAACATCTGGCACAGTGGCTGCAACATAAGGCTTGAACATCACAATTGTGCAGATGATGCGGCGCTCGGCTGTGTTTCCTTCTGTTGTAGACGGGGTTACTACACATTAGACCCAACTGACAGCTTAGTTATGTAGGGAAAAGCTTTCTTTCTATATTGGTTTAGAGAAAGGTCCTTTCTCCTTTCACGTCTATGGATTCAATATTCCTTGGTGAACTCCAAGTGCGACGGCATGAATGTCTCCTATGTCTAGGAAAGAACCTGGGTCCAAAGGTCACCCTCCACTAGGGGCTCCATTCTCTTTCATCTCCTGTGGGATGAAAGGTGATGCAAGCCACACCCCAGACAAGCTCCTCCTGCATGGATCAGGACTGTGACCTGAGCAAGGGGGTTCCATCCATGCTAACGCCATTGCTGATAGATCACCTCAGATCACATCAAGGGAGATGATGACATCGTTATATAATGGCCAAATTGCTTAAGTGCCAACCACTGAGAATCATGGCTAGGTTGGCACATATTTCTGGAAGACACAATTCAATGCACGACAAGTAAAATAACTACATAAAGTGTTGCATTCTACATTTTCTACATCATTGTGCCTCAATTTATAGTCCATTAATTGCCCTTTCCTCCTCTGGAGGGAGACAAAAACAACAACAATATTAGTTCTCTTCTACTCTCTGAGTTCACGTGCCCCTTTGAGAAGAGCCTTACCTGCATAATGTACCGGAATCTCTATCTTTGGCCCAATAACATAGTGCCCTTCCTCCAAACTATGGGCAGTGATGGTCGTCCACTGACGGCATGAATGAATCAGAAGGTAATCGTTCTCCCGCAGGCCTTCTATGCATTCTCCTAGAAAATGTAATGATCGCATACAGCTTAGAATTCATATCCACTTACTACAGCAACACAGCAAGAACATTTCGTGAGTGAAAACTCTATGAAGTAGACTTCACTTTGAATTAGCAATTTAAAAAATTAAAAGTAATCCATACTGTGTTAACAATACACATAGAATTTTATAGAAAGGTATATTTCTCTGCAAATAGATTTTTCAAATGCCTTGTATCTCACTGTTTATATCTCAATGACAATAAAATGACATTAGCTGGATGCTTATGTTGTATTTTTTAGGCACTGTATTAGATATTTTAGATACTAGGGTAAATTTAAAAAAGGATTGCTACAATATCATACACACCTTTATTAAGCAAAAATATCAAGATGTGAAATCATAATTTCTTGACATTCCCTTCATGTATGCCTATATACTTCTCAAATCAGTTTTTCTGTCTCTCAACCCTTCTCCAATGAATTCTGTATTCTACAAAGTACACCACATCAAAGGGGCAGTTTTGGCACCCTTCAGTGACTTGAATTATATTATGTTCAAATGTTCTTTGGGTTTGGGGAATAAAAAGGAGTTTGAAGGAGCAAGACAAGAGCTGTAAGGTAGATGAGCTAAGGTCTCCCAACAAAATTCTCATTTTGTTGCCACCTGTGAACAATGAGCTGGGATTTCATGATAGGGTGAATATTCCTTAGTGCTACTATCCTGCCCTGTTTCTCACAAATGCAGTTTTCAATCTTCTGGAAACACCTTCATATAAAAGCCACAATCATCTGATGCATCCTTTGAGAAACTGTATCAAAATTACACCTTTGGAATTTCAAAAACCAGTCAATATAACCTTCTGGCTTTTCTTCCTTGAATTTAACTGATCCCTCCAGATCCCCTTGGAAGTCGCTATTCTGATTTGGGCAATTGGGGGGGTAGTATACTAATGACACTAAGACAGACATACTAATGAATTTGTCTGCAGCCAGTCACTAATTGCAGAGACATGTTTACACCACATTTTTGTTTGTAATAAACCCATAAATGTATGAACTGCAGCCCTTGTTAGCAACACGTCTGACTTACTCGTATGTATGACATATTACACGTAATGCACTACCTTTTTGAGATAGTTTTCTCTTTTTTTAAGGTAAGGAACATCAAGCTCCAGAATGTTAAAAGAACTGGTCTAAATGCACAGGCTCACAAAGCAGAAAATGAATCATAGTGATGTTAATGCTTATGTTTTAACCATTACAATGAGAGCAGTGAAGGGTTCATGGTTGAATTCTTAGCTTCCATGGAGATTTGGGTTTGAGCCCTAAGGAATGTACCTCATGCATAGCTAACACCTGGCTGTCAGAAGAGGTTTGCATGGTGCTCTGATGCTGGCAGGTTTCAGGGAAGCTTCCGGGATAAAACAAACCAGGAAGAAAGGCCTGGTGATCTACTTCTAAAACATAACTCACTCACTGCCCTCTAGCCAGTGCTGACTCATAGTGACCCTATGGGACAGGGACGAGTATCCGAGGAGACTAACTCTTAAAACACCATTTTGTTGGGAGCTAATATAGATATCATATGATTCCATAGTTCAATCGCATCAAGCAGTATTGTACAATTGTTAACGCAATCGGTTTCAAAACATTCTCTTCCTTCTTGAGCTCCTTGACATCACCTCTGCTTTACTACCACCTGCTGATGATCCCCCAGGAACCCTTATTCGACTTGCTGTCTCTATAGGCACTAGACCGTCTTTTTTTTTCTTCATATTTTTATTGGCACCTAATCCACATATCATACAATTCAATCATTCGATGATATAAAGAAGAATTGTACAATCATTGCCACAATCAATTTTTGAGCATTTTTCCTCCCTGTGGTTAAATTACCTTTAAAATGAGTTGTATAATCATAATCAGTTCTAGTGTTCCCTCCCACGTCTCGCCTTCATTATTTACTCCCCAAGTCCCCTCACCCTCCTTATAATCTGCAGTCCACCCCTACACATCCATTATAAGCTTTTGTATCAGTTATTATCTCTATGTATCCACTCCTTCTGTGCTTCACAAACTGGGAAGCCCAATAGAAACAATAAAAAAATAAAGTGCTAAGGATAAAATAATAATAATATAAAGATTAAAAATATAAGTAATGAGTAAGAAAGAAAAGACCACCCTTAATATTTAAAAAGCCAGGAAAGAAAGTTTTGTCACAGAACACCTAAGAGATACTTTCACCTAGAACAAATTCAGGTTGGGTCAACAGGAGGTCGGCTGACTAAGTATCAGGTTGGATCCAGCATAGTGAAGATTACAATGATCTATGTCTGGTAGAAAGGCTGTTCAGGACCCTTGCCTGTGGTTAGTAGGGGTCTGCCAGCAGCGAGACTGTAACTCTTTAAAGGAGTGGAAAGTTCTACCTTTCTCTGGTGGAGAAGCTGGCGGTTTTGAACTTTAGGTCTTATAGTTAGCAGCTCAACTGGTAACGCATAACCACCACACGAAACCCAATGGGTCGTAATGGTGTGATCACAATCCAACATGCATGTGGAACGGATGGAGCAGCATTTCATTCCCTTGTGCTTGGGTTATCATGAGTCAAAGAGAAAGGAAAGGGGCGGTTTGTATGTGTGCAATTTTAAACTATTCCTCACTCATTCATTCAAGTGACATTTATTATCCTTTACATACAAGATAATGGATAAGTAGGCAAAAATATAAATAAGGTTTGGTCCCTGCATCAAGAAGTTGACATTCTCCCTGGTGAGAAGTTTGTCTAAGTTTTATTTTGCATAAGGGAAACTAAACCAAACCAAACTCACTGCAATCGTGTTGGTTCTGACTCACAACAACTCCATAGGACAAAACTAAACCGTTCTCATGTTTCTGAGGCTGCTCATCTTTACTGGAGCAGAAAGCCTCGTCTTTCTCCTGTAGAATGGCTTGTGGGTTTGAACCACCGATCCTGTGGTGAGCAGCCAATTCACAACACACTACACCGCCAGGGTTTGTAGGGTATAATTATTGCTACATAAGAGGAATAGGGAGTCTAATATGAGGATGGGAAGTTCCAACAGAGAGGATCAAGAAGAAAAGTCAGAGAACGTGGAAGCTGCTCTCTCCTTGAGAGATGCGTTGGGCTTCAGGGAGAGGGAAGCAAGGGGATTCAGTGAAAGGTTTTGTGTTCAAGAATGCCCAAAGCTCCGCTTTAGAACATGAATCCAGCAGGCCTACGAAAGAGAGACCGGAGGGGGCAGAAAATAGAGCCACGGGAGTGAATGCAGGAAACTCAGAGGTAACACACAGTGCCGTTCAGGGAAAATGGGAAAACGTCATTTTCTGCAACTAAACTGTTAGATCATAAAAACTATTTTAATTTTATTCCACAGTGGACTCTAAAGAGGCATCCAAGAAACAATTGCAGTTGAGTTAATCAAAATGAAAATGTAATGTGAAATCAGACTGCTGCTGATGTAGTAAAGCCTTCAAATGATTCTCGAAGTCATAAAGTAAAAAAGTCTGTAGATTTTGGAGCTTGTTTTCTGTATTTGTTTTTCTTCCTTTTTTAAAACAAGTGAAGCAGGTGCTTGTTTTAGACAAAATAAGAGTTTCACACAAATTTTCTAGAAATAAAACATCATAATCATTTCAAATACCATAAGGTGTACCCCTGATAGAGACACTATAAAAATTAATTCATAAACTATACTTTTTAAAAAAAAATCATTTTATTGGGGGCTCATACAACCCATACACATATCCACTATGTCAACCACATTTTACTTGCTCACTTTGACCTGGGTCGCTCAGCCTTGAGAGTTACAGGCCTGGAAAATCAGTTTTGACACTAGTATAATCAGAACTAAAGAAATTTTCAACATTAATCTGCTTTCACAAATACGCCATCTCAAAATTTAAAATACATACTTATAATCTGGATATGCACAAACTGTTATCTCTCTATTCTGTTGCGGTGGCTTCTATGCCAATATAATAGATGTATGAATATCCGGGTTCACCAATTAAAATAGGCGTATAAATATGCAGATTCAGCTCTCTGTTCTCCGATGTTAGGTTTTCTCAGCTTTCTCCCTTTATATTAGCTATAACTCTTTAAGCGTCAATCAAGGTTCCATTCTTAACCTTTATAACCTTTTTCTATCATTTATATTCTTGTATACATCTCAGGGAGTCAATTAAGTTTAGGCAATTCCTAAATCCATGCTAACTTCTACTGTTGAGCTCTCTTGACTTCTATCTTCTATGCATTCCTACCTGGATGGTCCCAGCCATTCATGCAGGCACCACAAATTCATTTGGCGCTTACTAAGGAGCAACTGGTGGCATAGTGAGCTACACACTGGACTGCTAAGTCAGCAGTTAGAAACCCCAGCTGCTCCTGAGGAGGCAGAGGCTTTCCCCTCCTGTAAAGAGCTACAGTCTCAGGATGCAATGGGGCAGTTCGACCCTGTCCTATAGGGTCCAGGTGAATTGGGATCAACTTGATGGCAGAGAAGGACCACCTGTGTTCTAGGGCCTGGTGCTATCAGGCTGCACAGAGGACTTGCCCTAGTGGAACTGACCTCTTAGCTAAGTTTTCATTCTCCAGTTTTTCACTCTTCACATTATTTTAATGTTAGTGCTAGGAAAATCATTTAAAAAAAATACAGCACTGCAGATAAAACAAGCGCAGCAGAAATCGTGAGGCTACTGATCCATTTTGAATAATGTGATCAATACCACTGGGCAACTTGTGTGGAAATTATTAAATGGGAACCTAAAACTGCTTTGTAAAAAAACCTTCATCTTCATCAAGCAAAATGAAATATTATTTTAGAAAATATACATACAAGGGAGCTTCAAAAAGTTTGTGGGAAAATGGTGCTAACAGACAATGTAACTAAAAGCAAAACCAAAATAATATCACTCTTCTTATTCCTCTGCTTACAGGCCATCCATGGTCCGATGGTTACACACACACACACACACACACACACACAAGACCTGGTTCC